CGCTAACTGTTGATTACCACATATGACATGTTGAAAAGCCTAAAGGAAGTCCTTTACATTTGTGACAAAACAGGAAGTGACAATAACTCCCGTCTGGAAGATCAGATTTTGGCCAAACTTTTAAGGCTTGCAGCCGGACTCATACTGATATGAGTGGAAGGCGAATGCAAAGTTTAGGCATATGCACACCCTGGTGGACGTGTACGGGAATGGCATGAGAGCATTCGCGACGGCAACTGGAAGGCATTAATTGGAGCACCCGCGGTCGCAGGCGATGTCGAAGGTTCGGCGAATGTGCACCTCTGTGAACGAGTGCGGGACGGACGCGAGAGTGTTCACGATGGCGACTGGGTAGATTCACTGGAGCTCCTGCGGTCACCGTAAGGCCGGAGCGGCGCTTTTTTGCGAGGGCCTTCAGTGCTGCTTGCAGCTTTAATTTGAGATTTGGGGCTGTAGTTAAGATTTTATTTGAGCTTTTGAGATGTTCATCAGCTGCTGTTGGTTTTAGAAAACTGCCTTGTTGCCATGGTTACGCATCATAACAAATGTCCAAAACTAAAAAAAAATTTCAGCAAAAATTCTTCCAGCTGCACAGCATCGGATACCAGAGGAAACAATCATCCAAAAAATGTGATTTACATCCAGAAAAAGAGGAATTAAAGTTTCCAAAAGCAAAATCTCAGAATGAAATTAACAGAGCTACTCCAACATGTAGCCACCTTGAGCGGCACAATTCTAGAACTGTTCTAAATTCAAAAACTGTGCCATGATATGATTCCAGTGCTTAAACCTGAGCAAAGTTGAGCTAAGGGTAATCTCACGCAAGGACTGTGATTAAATATTATTATTATACATTGATTTGCTTCACTCCTCCTTCAATCACCACCTTATCATGGTGGAGGTGCTTGTGCGCCTGAATGATCCTAAGAGCTATGTCGGGGGCAATTATAATTGCCCCGGTAGGGTCTCCCAAGGCAGATTGGTCCTAGGTGACAGGGCAGATGAGCGATTCAGAAGATTTTTATGGACAAAACAAAACAAGGAACTTAGTGTCCCTTACCCAGACGTGGGTTACTGGGGCCCCACCCTAGAGACAGGCCTGGGGGAGGGGCTCGTCGGCAAGCGCCTGGTGACTGGGCCTCTACCCATAGGGCCCGGTCAGGCTCAGCCCAAAGGAGCAGCATGGGTTTGCCTTCCTGTGGACCAACCGCCTGCAAGAAGAGCCATAAAAGTCAGGTGCATGATGCTATGGGCAGTGGTCAAAGGTGGGGACCTTTGCGCTCTGACCCTGGCTTACCAATGATGGCTCTTGGAACATGGAATGTAATCTCTCTGACAGGGAAGGAGCCTGAGCTTGTGCACAAGGTTGAGAAGTACCTACTAGATATAGATGTGCTCACCTTGACGTACAGCATGGGCTTTGGAACCAATCTCCTTGAGAGGGGCTGAACCTTATTCCACTCTGGAGTTGCCCATGGTGAGAGGTGTCGAGCTAGTGTGGGTCTACTTGTAGCCCCCACCTTGGTGCCTGTGCATTGGAGTTTTCCCCAGCAGATGAGAGGGTGGCTTCCCTTCACCTTCAGGTGGGGGATGGGCTCTGACTGTTGTTTGCGCCTATGCACCGAACTGCAGTTCAGAGTATACGGCCTTCTTGGAGTTCTTGGCAGGGGTGCTGGAAAGTGCACCAGCTGAGGACTCCTTTATTCTGCTGGGGGACTTCAATGCCCACGTGGATAATGAAGGGCAGCTGTGGCTGAGTGGTTAGAGCAGTCGTCCTCGAATGCGAGAGTTGGGGGTTCGAATGCACCAGCAGTCACATGTTGAAGTGTCCCTGGGCAAGACACTGAACCCTTCATAGCCTCTGATGTGTGTCCCATCAGTGTATGAATGTGATCTAAAAAGCACTGATGAGTCTCTTTAGAATGATTTGTTCAATTAGCTTTGTAGAGATCTAGCAGAGTGTTGTATGAATGGGTAAATGAGGACACAGCACCTCCAAATCTGAGGCCATGGTCCTCAACCGGAAAAGGGTAGATTGCTCTCTTCAGGTCGAGGGTGAGGTTCTGCCTCAAGTGGTGGAGTTCAAGTATCTCGGGATTTTGTTCACGAGTGAGGGAAGAATGGAGTGTGAGATTGACAGATGGATTGGTGCAGCATCTGCAGTATTGCAGACTCTGTACCAGTTTGTTGTGGTGAATAGAGAGCTGAGCTGTAAGGCAAAGCTCTCTGTTTACTAGTCAGTCTACGTTCCTACCCTCACCTATGGTCATGAGCTCTTGGTAGTGACCGAAAGAATGAGATTGTGGATACAGGCGGTTGAAAGGAATTTTCTCCACAGGGTAGCTGCACTCTCCCTTAGAGATAGGGTGAGAAGTTCAGTTATCCGGGAGAGATTCGGAGTAGAACCGCTACACCTTCACGTCAAGAAGAGCCAGTTGAGGTGGTTCAAGCATCTGGTAAGGATGCCCCCTGGTTGGGCATGTCCAACTGGGAGGAGACCCCGATGAAGACACAGGTCACACTGGAGAGACTATGTCTCTCGGTTGGCCTGGGAACGTCTTGGAATCCTCCCAGAAGAGGTGGCTATGGAAAGAGATGTCTGGGCCTCCCTGCTCAAGCTGCTGCCCCCGCGACCTGACTTCAGAATAAGCGGAAGATAATGGATGGATGGGTGGATGGATGAATTTGCTTCACAAAGATGGATAACAGTTACTACTGGCATTTTGTTTTTTTACTGTATGTGAATGTACTTTTATAATAAGAACTGATCATAAAGCATTAGAGTTAGAATCTGAATTGGATTTTTATTGTTTTTTTTCTTTTGTGAGATAACTTGTTATGATTTATTCATCCATCTATCCATTTTCTTCTGCTTATCTGGGGTCGGGTCGCGGGGTAGCAGCCTAAGCAGGTGGGCCCAGAATTCCCTCTCCCCAACCACTTGGGCCAGCTCCTCTGGGGGAATCCCAAGGTGTTCCCAGGCTAGCCGAGAAACATAGTCCCTCCTGCATGTCCAGGGTTTTCTGCTGGGTCTCTTTCTGGTGGGACATGTCCAGAACACCTCACCAGGGAGGCATCCAGGAGGCATCCAAACTAGATGCACGAGTCACCTCAACTTGCTCTTCTCGATGTGGAGAAGCAGTGGCTCTACTCTGAGTCCCTCCTTAATGACTAGGCTTCTCACCCTATCTCTAAGGGAGAACCCATACATCATGTGGAGAAAACTAATTTTGGCTGCTTGTATCCGAGATCTCGTTCTTTCAGTCACAACCCAAAGCTCATGACCATAGATGAGGGTAGGAACGTAGATCGACTGGAAAATCAAGAGCTTCACCTTTTGACTCAGCTCTCTCTTCACCATGACAGACTGGTACAGCGCCCGCTTCACTGAAGATGCTGCACCTATCTGCTTATTGATCTATCGCTCTATTTTTCCTTCATTCGTGAAAAAGACCCCAAGATACTTCAACTCCTCCACTTGGGACAGAACTTCCTCCCCGATCTGGAGAAGACACTCTATCCTTTTCCAGCTCAAGAACATGGCCTCAGATTTGGAGGAACTGAACCATATCCCGGTCATTTCACACTCGGCAGCGAACTGCTCCAGTGACAGCTGTAGATCACGACCTGATGAAGCCAATAGGACCACATCATCTGCAAAAAGCAGCTATGCAATCCTAAGGCCACCAAAACGGATCCTCTCAACACCTTGGCTGAGCCTAGGAATTCTGTTCTTAAAAGTTATTAACAGAATCGGTGACAAAGGGCAAACTTGGCAGAGTCCAACTCTCACTAGGAACGAGCCTGACTTATTGCCTGCCGGCAATGCGGACCAAGTTCTGCCACTGGTCATACAGAGACCTAACATCCCGTATCAAAGGGCCTGGTACCCTATACTCCCAGAGTACCCCACACAGGGTTCTCCAAGGGACGTGGTTGAATGTCTTCCCAAGTCCACAAAGCACATGTAGACTGGTTGGGCAAATTCCCACACCCCTCCAAGACCCTGCTGAGGGTATAGAGCTGGTCCAGTGTTCCACAACCAGGATGAAAACCACATTGCTCCTCCTGAATCTGAGGTTTAACTATCTGAGGGACCCTCCTCTCCAGAACCCATGAATAGACCATACCAGGGAGGCTTAAGAACGTGATCCCCCTGTAGTTGGTACACACTCTGCGGTCTGCCTTTTTGAATAAGGAGACCACCACCCCAGTCTGCCAATCAAGGGGAACTGCCCCAAATGTCAATGCAATATTGCAGAGTCATGTAAACTAACACAACACTACAACATCCAGAGCCTTAAGGAACTCCGGGCAAATCTCATCCACCCCTAAGGCCCTGCCACCAAGAAGCTTTTTAACCACCTCGGTGACCTCAACACCAGAGATTGGAGAGCCCAATCCAAAGTCCCCAGGCTCCACTTCCTCAATGGAAGACATGCTGGTGGGATGGAGGAGGTCTTCAAAGTACTCTGCCCACCGACCCATGACGTCCCAAGTTGAGGTCAGCAGCACACCACCTCCACTATAAACAGTGTTGGTGGCCGCCTCATCAATGGAGGCATGGAACATGGCCCACTCGAGCTCAATGGGCCCAGGCCTCCCTTGCAAAAGAGATCTGTGATCTCAATGGGATTTGCCTGGCTAAATGATGGTTAATAAATAAATGTCCCCCACAACGTGTTCAATGTTATGATTTAACACAATGTAAATAAACTGAATTGATGTATGTCTTAAAAGTTAAATAAAAAACATAAATTGTTTCGTTAGATACTTTATCAGAAAAATTCACACAGACCCCAACTTTGTTGTCTGCCTGTTGTTCTTTGTGGCAGGGTTTTTGGTTTTTAAGTTAGGCCTTGAGATTAAAAAGGCCCAGGTGGACCTTCTTACAGGAACCAGACACAAAAATCACAACATAAAACACAAAAACTGAAAATGAAGGAAAATAACCAAACCAAGCTTTAATTTGAGTTAACCAGAATGAAGGGGACATTTACCCAGAAGCTTCTTGTGGTCCAGTTTGTGCCGATTAAGTGGGCTAGTTCCGTACAGGAGTGTGTGGAACTCTGAATGGACCGACTGGATCTCATCCAGAGACGCTTTCCGCCCACGAATCCTCTGCTCACAAAAACACAGACAGTTGATAAAACGCACCAGCACCTGGAACTCAAAGGTTCTGGTTTCAGTCAGTTTAGTGTTTGTACCTCGCACCGGCTCAGTAGGCCTGTCTCCTGCAGTCTGGACCAGATACTTTGGACTCTCCCAGCATGTTCTGGATGTATGTGAGCATTGCCACATAAACATTGATGTTTCAGCATCAGACCATCGTAAACAAGGCCTGTAGAGAACAAATGGAACAAAAGCAGTCCAGATTACCAGCTGGTTCAGTGCAGAGAGAAGCTGCACTGTTGTGTGTGCCAGAGGCTGCGGAACAGCTGATCCATTCAAGAACCACTAGATGTCAGTGCAGACCATCTGTGTGTGGACGTTCACGCTGCTAAACCTTTAATCAAACAACAAAGTCCATGCTTTAATCAAACAGTACCTGAAAACGATTTAATGCAAATAAATGGAACAAGTGAAGAACATAATGTTTGCTATAAAAATATGAAGCTCGATAATTATCATGGTGAATTTGTTGTTATCTTTGTTATTTTTAGCTTGTTGTGACTGCTTCTTCTGGCCCTCCCAAGCTCTTCTTTGTTAGACCATGGCTATTCAACTTGGAAGTGAGTCTTAATAGAAAATTCTGTGGTTGTGAAGGCCACAGGCAGTGGTGATTTTAGCCTCTTTTTGGGGATGCTCAATCACTCCAAATTTTAACTCAGCACCCCTGAAAATTAAAGAAACCATTATGATTTTGTAAGGACACTCAGTTCTCAAACCTTAGTTTCATCAAAATATTGAATAAATTTGGAATAAAAATGAACAAATGATAAAAGTCTTTAAAAGGCCAGTAAAATCTCTGATTTTTTTTTTTTCACAAATCAGATCCTCAGCTCTACCTGTCAATCAATCCAGTAGGCATGTCAGGAACTGACCAATCGGCAATCTCAATTTGTACCGAAGTGAAATGCCGCTTATCTGCAGGGGCTCCACCCCCTTTTCAGCTGACACCATTGTCATAGTTTTGTATTGTGAAAACTTTGCAGTAAGAAGGATTTCGTGAAAAATCATCAGAAAAATGGTTACATGTTGTCAGTGGGAAACATGCAATTCAGACAGTTTTACCCTGAGTGTTCAGAGGGTGGACTACAGTTTATTACATTTCCTAAACCTAAACTGAGTCTGGAAAAATGTAAAATATAGATAAAGCCCTGTGGCTTTGATGATTTGAATAAAACAATGATAAACAGGAAGTACCACATGTTCACCTGTAAGAAGGTAACTGCAGGTAAATCCTCCATTTTTTGTCATAATTACACTACATACTTAATGGTTAAATTAAAGGCTACTGTTTAAAGCTAGTTGTGCTTTGTTTTGTGTGTTTTATTCATTCATTCAACCTTTATTTAGACAGGTTAATCCATCGGGGACTCATTTACAAGAGAGACCTGATTTTAAAAAAGAATGATGAGAACAATGGACAACAATAAATGTTGATTACATACTGTAACCCCAGATTCTATGAGTATAGGTGCAGCCCTTTAAGGCTATTGCTAGTGGGTTTATCCCTTCGCGCGCAGCGCAGTCCTGAAGATTTTAGTCTATGCCCACCTGCTGTGTGGCCCTCATCCCCGGTCTGTATAAATTATGGTGAGACCGGGTAATCGGCTCCCAAATGGCTTTTTTCTTCAGCCATTTAGGAACCAGTGAGGCCCAGAGCGTAAAGGGCTGTGCTTATACTCATAGAATCTGGGGTTACAGTACGTAACCAACATTCTATTTTGTATAGGCTTTGCCCTTTAAGGCTATCGTTAGTGGGTTAAAGGCGAAGCAGGATGTAGTCTATGCCTCACTGGGTCCATTCAGACACAACATGAAGCACCTGCTTGCACAAAAAACCATTTCATCACTCAGCCTTCTGTGTGCGTAATTACGCGCTGCGTAATTGTGTGCTCCATGCGCAGGAGCATACTGGAGAAAAGAGCTCTGGTGAGGAAAAAGTCTGAGATAGCAGAACTGCTGCTGCGAATAGGAACAACGGAGGATACGAATTGTAACAGTGTAACGATAAACAGAGCAGATCAACAGCTCCTCAGGATGAACCAATTAATAACGATAAAATCAGCAGTCATGAACTTGTGACTGATAATAAATATCTCACACTACAACTGCATGCAGGCAGGTGTGAGCTCAAAAGTGAGGCTCCATGAAACAAATAATAATCATTCTGTCAGAACCCTGAGAACAGAATGGGTCATGGAGAAAGTAGAAACATCACGTAGATAAAAACGAATAATTGAACATGGCGATGACCAGGCAGCCGCCATACAAATATCCTCCACTGTCATCCCTCCATGCAGAGCCATGAAGGATGAAAACCCTCTGGTGGAATGCACTGAGATTCTCTGGAGGATCCAGTCCAGATGAACTGTAAGCTTCAGAAATAGCCTCACACAACCAGTGTGAGAGAAGCTGGGTCCTGAAGAGCTGTCCCAGTAATGCACGAACATACGCTGAAAGCGGCGCAGTGCTGCCGTCTGCGCCACGTAACATGAAAATGCGTGCATGGGACAGAAGGAGGTGAGATGTTGCTTCCTCCTCAGAATTATGAGGAAGAGGATAAAAACCCATCCAAGGTTATCACTCTCAATCTGAATGAGCTTGTGATGTTTTTCAGAGCAGTGTTAAAACACAGTACAGCTGAACTGCTGTCAGCTTGAATTCTGAGACATGAGGGAGCAACAGGGAGAGCAAACAAACATTCACTCTCTTTGCTGATGTCATAACTAACAGCAGGGCTGTTTTAAATGACAGAAATTTAAGTAAAACCTGATCTAAAGGCTCAGAAGGAGCTTTGATCAGAGCATGCAGGACCATCATTAGGTCTCACTGTGGAGCTAGTGGACGTAACACCAATCTGTGTTGCTGTACACCTTTCAGGAAACGCTTCATCAACGGGTGATTAAGAACTGTTCTGTCACCGAAGCCCTCGTGACAGGAAGAAATAGCTGCAGCATAAGTCTTAATTGTGCCTAACGCTAGATTTCTGTCCATCTGTTGCAGAAAGGACAACATGCCACCTAGTGGACATGAGATGGCCTCTACACCTTTCTCCGTGCACCAGCGCTGAAAAGCTGTCCACTTTGATATAAGCGCATAAAGGAGCATTTTGGACCACGGGCTGTGAGCGTCCTCCTAATGGTGGGTCGTCTTGTGGGCTCAGTGAGGACCATAAATGACACTGGGCATTCTCCCGTGTGGCAGACAGATCCACTGCTGCTCAGCCGAACCTGCTCCAAATCCGAGAGAACATCTCGGAATGGAGGCTCCAGTCTCTGTGGCGGGGACCGCCCCTCGACATGATGTCCACTCCCCTGTTCAGGATGCTGAGAATGTACACTGCTCTGATAGAAAGTAGGTTTTTGTGTGCCCAACACAACAGCTGTTTCACGATGCGTAACAGTTCGGCTGAGCGCATGCCTCCCTATGTAAGCTGCCATCAGTTTGTTGTCTGTGTGGATCAGAACATGCTGATCCTGCAGCAGGGGGGCAAAATTCTGAGTCACGTTTCAGACCGTGAAAACATTCTAGCACATTTATGTGAAGCAACATGTGATCCAGCCACTGTGCTCCCACTGCCTGAGACAGACACATTCCTCCCAGCTTGACAGGAACGCATCTGTGAAAACCGAGATGTGTGACGTAGGCCTGCTGATGGGAACTCCCTCTGACATAATGAGGGGGTTTCACCAGTGATTCAGATCGGTTCTCATGGAGGGGGGCACAAAGATAATCCACCTCTTCTGGCGCACAGGATTTATGCGCAGGCGGGCGAACCATCTCTGAAGGCGTCTCATGTGAAGTAGGCCCAGCAGAACCACGATGTGGGCTGCTGACATCGACCCATGTGTCGCATGACAGGCAGAAATGTCACTATGCTGCAGGGTTTGACACAGCGGAGCTGAGCTGATAGAGCGTCGGCTCTCAGCTGTGATAAACGGGCTCTCATTAGGCCCGAGCAGCAAAGCACTGCAAAGGCCTATTGTAATCAATTCAATTTCAATTCAGTTTATTTATTTAGCGCCAAATCACAACAAAGTTGTCTCAGGGCACTTTACAGGAACATTCACATAAAAGCCAATTAGTAAAGTTCTCTATCTAAGGAATCCAGCAGACAAGATGAATCTTGGCTTCGTTGCAGTCTCCCATCCTGAGCAAGCACAGTGGCAACAGTGGAAAGGAAAAACTCCCTTTTAACAGGAAGAAACCTCCAGCAGAACCAGCTCAGGACAAGCGGCCATCTGCTTTGACCGGCTGGTTGAGAGGACAGGAAGGAGAGACAGATGAACATAGAATGATAGGTCCAGGTATAGGTCCAAGTGTATCTGAAAGACAAAAAAAAAACACATTAAGGATAGAAAAAAATAATTAAAAATACAAAAAAGGTTGAGCAGAGTAAGTAAAGACAGTAGCAGAGTGAAAATTGTGGTCAGTTTGTCCTCCAGCAGTCTAAGCCTATAGCAGCATAACTAAGGGACAGCTCAGGAAACCCAAGCCGACCCTAACTATAGGATTTATCAAAAAGGAAAGTCTTAATCCTAGTTTTAAAACTGGACAATGTGTCAGCCTCACGGACAGAGATTGGAAGTTGGTTCCACAAGAGAGGAGCCTGATAACTGAAAGATCTGCCTCCCATTCTGTTTTTTTTTTAATTCTAGGAACCACAAGTAAACCTGCAGTCTGAGAGCGAAGTGCTCTATTAGGAAAATATGGAACAATAAGATCTGTAATATAAGATGGAGCTAGGTTATTTAGAGCTTTATAGGTTAGAAGTAAGATTTTGAATTCTATTCTGGACTTGACAGGGAGCCAATGGAGAGAAGCTAAAACTGGAGAAATAGGATCTCTCCTAATAACTCCGGTTAAGACTCTGGCAGCAGCATTTTGGATCAAATGAAGATGTTTTAAAGAAGTATTTGGACATCCAGATAATAAACCATTGCAATAGTCCAGTCTAGACGTGACAAATGCATGGACCAGTTTTTCTGCATCATTTTTAGATCAGATGTTTCTAATGTTAGTGATATTACGCAGGTGGAAGAAGGAGGTTCTAGTAACGTTTTTAATGTGGGGGATAAAAGACATGTCCTGATCAAAAATAACACCAAGATTTTTAACATTAGAGCTGGAGGACAGATTAATGCCATCTAAGGAAAAACTCACTACTATTCA